TTTACCTTATCTATCATCAGCTCGTCTCTTGGAAGATTGAAAATATTCGAATAGTATGAAGCTTGCCAACCTGTCATTTACTTCATTCCACGACTTAGGTGGATTCTCCAGTAGGTCGTCTAGAAACCGGCCAGGCTTCAGACCATGCAGCAAGGCAGACAAGCAGATGGTATCGGGGATGTTGTTAATGTCCAAAGTAGCTTTGTTGAATTGTTGCATGTAGTCCCTTAGAGATTCTCCCTCTTTCTGATGAACCTGCATCAGTTCAGTCGCTGTACGTTTAATCTCCCTTTGGCTTGCAAATTTGTTGGAGGATAGCTTGGCGAGCTGGGAGTACGAGTCTATAGAGTGTCTGGGGAGTTTATGATACCATCTTCTGGCCGTTGACTTCAGTGTCGCTGGGAACACTTTGCACATCATGGCGTCATTGACATTTTGGATTCTCATGATGGCCTGATAGGTATACAGGTGTTCATCTGGGTCACTTGAGCCATCATATGTCTCTAGGTGGGGGATTTTGAATCCCTCTTGATACGATTCTGCCATGATGGATAGGTTTAGTGGGGCACTATCTAGGTCAAGAGTCTGCTGATATGACCTGGGGCTTTTCAGCTCGTCAATGGATTTCTGTACATCTTTGAGCTGTCTTTCAAGGTCAGGATTTTTCTTTATCAGTTCTTCGTTATGCTTGGATGAGCTGGGTTCTGGGTTTAACCTCCCACTTCCCCTTAGTCTGGTTGGGACCACCACATTACTCAGGGTCGGGGAGTTACGGGTTGCAACCACTGCAGCTGGCTGTGCAGCCCTATTTAGCAAAGGAATTAGAGGGTTATCAGGAATCAAGCGGGCAAGGATTTTACCCATTTCCATTTCGAGAACTCTGGTTCTCTCTTCGAGCTCGGTTGTTAGAGCAGGCTCTGTTCACCTTTCAGGTCGTTCATGTTGTGAATTGTATGGTCTAGGATGTCTTTGCCTTGTTCCTGTTGGAATTTGGAACTGTTCCGGTTGAGTTGCATACCTAGTTGGTGTTCTTTCATCATCATCTATTTCACTTAGTTGATCATGTTCTGCTCCTCTAACAAAGAGGTTTCTTGGCATTGGCCTAAAATGATTCAGGCCGGGCTCAAACAATTGAGTGTCCTCCTGTTCGTCCATTTCATTTCTTGGAGGGCGACTTCCAGTAAAAGTACGAGCCATTTTGCCTTTCAGCAAGTTAAGCTACACAACTTCTTGTTCAATTCCCACAAACGGCGCCAAATGTTTGGGTAGCTTCGCGATCCAACACTGTTGAAGTCCTCAGCTGCTTCTGCACCTGAAAATCCCGAGGTGTTTCCTCGGGAAAGACACTCCGACGCTTAAGTCAGCAATACTCAATATTCTAGAGAGAGATGCTCTCAAAGAGTAATTGCAGAGAGAGAGATGTAGAAGAGTTAATTACCTTCATCGAAGGTAGTTGGGGGGTATTTATAGCCCCAAATGCTGACATGAGCTCACACATGTATTCACCCGATTGGCCTAGTGTTACTACCCACGTGGGCATGTCTCCTCATCTTGGGCCTATGGGTGTATAACTGGGCCTGCTGCATGCGCCCCGAAGTGGGTGTTGGGCCTATTCCCAACACATATTATCTTTTCTTTTATTATACTCTTATTTTATCATTCTTTTTTAAACATTCCATATGTTTCAATCAATTGTTGTATATCTTACTTTTTACTCTTTTTTTATATTTCAACATGTTCTTATTAAAAAAAAGTTTTATATCAAAACATAAAAAGTGCAAAATTTTAGTATTATTTTTCTAGTATTTTTTATTTTCCTTTACTCCATTTGTCACAACATAATGTTGTATAAGATTTATCACAAATTTTTCGATAAAAAAAAACAATTATTTTTAAAAAAAAAAAAAAGATAAAAAGTGTATAAATCTTAATCATTTATAATAAAAAGATAAATAATCAATGTTTTGTATAAATTATACATGTAAGTCAATTCTAACTTTTCTTTCATCTCCCTTGTCTTTCATTTTATATTATTCTTTTTTTATCACTCCTTACATTTTTATCTATCATTATGTAATTCTGTTTTGCCCTAATTCTTCTCTCTCTTCTATTGTCCATATTAGAAATGTTTTTAACCAAATATAAATGGCAAAACTTCTTAATATTATTCTCTAATTTTTTTTCACTTAATTTAACTCCACTTCTTTTATTATTAATTTTTCTTACAACTCAATCTCTCAACTTCATACTAACAATTTATCTTTATATTTAGCTTTCTACCATACATTCAACCTCTCTTAACCTCTATAGATTAGTGCTTTATTATTATTATTATTATTTTGTATTATTCTTTCTCCCTTAATCATCTCCTCTCCATTGTTCTTCCTTAGTCTTTACTTGCATCATTATCTATCATTATATATCTCTTTGTTTCTACCTCAATTTTTCT